AGCTGAAAGAGGGCTACAAAGTCAAACTTTGTGGAAAAACTGAGCTACATATATATATATATATATATATATATATATACTGTATCATTACTGTACCTTTGTATTACCACATTCTTTTTTTGTAAGGGTTTTAGGTGAATCTGTTTGTCCGAGTTATCTGTTTGCATTCATGACTTGCAGATTGTGTCTCAAAATCTAAAAAAGAGTTCCCTACGTAGACAGCATTTTTGGGCATTGTATTGGTGCATTAGACCCCTTTCTTGATCATATGTGATTTGTGGAGTTAGATATCATAATTATGTTGCTCTTTGAGTCATATTTTATTTTTGTTGTCTATTTGTGCTTATCTTTCATGTTGAAAATCGCTCGTAATTGTCTTCTGCTGCACGTCAAGTCTTTGCTGCCTGAAGAAATGATTGTTTAGAGGCATGTTTTGAGTATTTTGCATTTTATGATTTGTTGCTTTTCATAAAATGTAAATTAAACAAACACTTATATAATCCAAATCACAGTTGAATCTGTGTTTATAAAGGGCAACCTTTTTTAATGCCTGGCTGACCTCTTCCTTTGCTGTGTCCCTCTGGACCGTTCTCTCCTTGTTGGACAGACACCACTGGCAACAAACAACAGCACAGACTCTTTCCTGAATAATGAATGTGTTGACTGCTGATGCTGTCTGTGTGTTTGCATAAAGCCTTCACTTCAGACACTGCTTGCCCAGATATCCAAGGGAGGTCTCTTTATACATGAGACACATCTGCGGCTGCCAGGCTCTGCCCGCTGAGCCTTCAGCAATAATTTCGCTGAGGTGGAAGACGGGTGCAAGAAAATAGAGCAAGTGGTACCTCATGGTACATATTTCATAGTAGCCTGCTGGGATATGAATGCAACAGATCAGGATTTATGAAAAATGAAATACGCTCCGCTTCTAGATGCCCAATGGGTTTCTGTTTCACTTTGAGGCAGTGTCTGGTGGCATGACATCTCAGTGGTAAAAGAAAGTCTATCAGGACAGGGTACAAATGGCTTGAGTTTGTGGGCTTAATACACTACATGGCTGAAAGTATATGGACATCCTGTTTAAATTCTACTGAAGGGAAATATTAAACAAAACAAAAAAAACTAAAATTTTAATTGACTGGAAATTTAGTGGCCCTCAGGCCGTTCAAGATGTATATGAGTTTATTATTCATTGCAACAGGTTTGGAGAAATGTAGCATTACATCACTTGCTCACCAATGGATCCTCTGCAGTGAATGGGTGCCGTCAGAATGCCGTCCAAACACCTGATGAAAAACATCACAATAATCTACCAGTAATCCACACAACTCCAGTCCATCAATGTCTCGTTTTTATAAGAAACAAGTTCATCAAGATGCTTTTAACTTCAAATAATTGCTTCCAGTTAAAATATGAGTCTTCTATCCATAATATTGCTTTCTTCAGTGAAGAAATTGTCTCGTCTGTTTTTGAAGAGAGATATGCACAGATCAAGCACTGTTTACAAGCGAAAACAGTCCAAAACAGTTCTAAACACACATGTTAGTGGTTTTTGATGTGAGAGGATAATAGGAGATGGACTTTTTCTCTGGAGAAAGTGTTATTATGAATTATGGACTATTATATGGGTGTTTTGGCCAGAAGTGATGGTTTAAGCAACTAACAATTTTTTCAAAACATCATCTTGTGTTCTGCAGAAAAAAAGAAAGCCATAGAGGTTTATAATTAAATGAGGGTGAGTAATTAATGGCCAAATTTTCATTTTTGGGTGAATTAATAATTTATTTTACAACCGAGGTTAAAAAACGTGACTCTGCCTACATTTCTGCAGAACTCCAAAAATGAACCTATATATAATTCACTTCATGAAATGCCTGCTAGTAGCAGTAAAACACCAACAATATGTATTCCTTATCACACAAATGATGTTTACAGGGACAGATTATTATTTAATAGACTTACTTTCACATGTTTTATTGTGCAATACAATGTTATTATCTCAAAATAATTTTACTATATGATTTGTAAACTAATATATTTTGACATGTGCATCACATAATCAGCTCCATATGTATGGCTTTTCTGATGTAGTAAACTTGCTGGGTAGATCACCTGGTACAGAATTGCACTTGCCATGTGGAGCGTCCCACAAAAAATGAGTCACAATCTGGGTTCTCTACTGACATTCTAGAGAATTCTGTGCATCTAACTTTGTTGCCCACCAAGGTCCTCAATGGTGTAGCCTACACATAGAACCTTGGAGAGAGGCAGCCCACTCATTAAAATGATGTCCCGGGCCCTGTGAATTTTAGCGGCAGCTCTTTATACTTGGTGTCCACATACTTTTGGCCATTTTTAATTAGTATTTTGCGTGCTAACTGTGCTTTTCTCTAGGATTTAGTGATGAAAGCAACCAGCAATTACAGTTTTGATGGCTTTGAGTAGTTACCCATATTCAAAACTCCACAGGAAACTTTAATCTATTATGAAGTCGCGTACGAGCATTCAAAACTGATACCACTTTGCAAGGCAACAAGTTAGTGAAAGAGTGTCTTTCTGTCACTGCATTATGCTGGCAAATTGTGGAAGCTGTTCACAGGGGAAGCCAATTCATCAAGGTTGTTTGTCACTGTCAACACAGATTGCAGCAGATGCCGTCTTGTCACTCGATAAGGGAGAGTCTGGAGGGAAACCAGAACGAGGGAATGTGTTGAAGACTCTCAGACCCGGAGATCTTAAAGGATCTGTTGCGTTTGTCAGGGAAAGCTTGTAAATTCCTATCTTCTCTATCATATTTCGTGAAGCAAAGGAAAACAATTTCTCTGTATATTTTTTCGAACGTATGACTCGAGCCTGGCAGCATCAGAAAGGAAAATGCCGTACTGTACTGTCAGTCTGTTTTCCTTTGAGTGAAGATTTCATGGTGTCTTGTTTAAAACGACGACAGATATGTAGGTCTACTGGGCTGTTTTTGAGTGCGTCAAAGTTTGAATTATATATATCAACTGATCTTCATAACCTGATTTGGAGGTTGCTGGCTGGCTAGGTGATTTGATTACATCCAGTAATAAAATTCAAATGTTTGACTAACGTGATGAATATGCCCAACCATAATGGAAGTGAATGCGGAAGTAGGAAGTTTTGCGGTGTGTTGATCAAGGTCATCACCTAAAACCAAACGACCGAAGCCACATGGTATGTCAAGGGATCCCCCTCAGTAAGGTGAATGCGCTCCCTGTTGAGATGCCAGAGCTTCAGGACCCGTTGATTCGGGTTTAAAACGTCACAGCTGGCGTCACACCAGATGTCAGGCAATACCTCCTGTTGCTCAGAGCTGCCATCCTGCAGACTAGAGATGGAATCGATTCTCTGCTCAGTCGGATGGATTAATGTGCTCTCTGCTGTACTTCCCTAGCCTTTCTTCTATTCCTCTATCTATTTATTCCACAAACACAATTCTCCTGTCCGAGAATATCTATGGGCTCCTGTTACTGGCCATCCATCATGTCCTTTTTAACGCGGTCTGGTCTTTCAATTTAAATGCACCGTCAGAGACCAGTAACAGACTGATGGATGGAAACTCAAAAGTTAAATAGATGTTGTTGCTGTCGGAGCAGTTATGAAACATTACGTTTGTTCAAATATATTTCTTTTGACAGAGTTGAGGTCAATTTGAAATGCTGTTCACAAGCCGTTTAACTTCTGTAGCGTGATGCATTTTGAATTGAAACAAGATATGGAATGAGACTTGATTTTATCAAGTGGGAACTGATAGGATTGTGTAAGCTGGCTGTTATGTGCCAGAATGGAGTCGAGTGGTTGAAAAGGAAGAATTTATCTGCAAAGGAAAGTCATTTTGAAGAACTCCAAATTATTACATTTTGATAAAAGATTATAAAGACAGATTAATTTGTCTTATGTCTAATGAATCATCAAGACCAGGAACATGCATTAAAAAGTAAATGGGGTAAGCCATATGCTGACAAAACATCCCAGTTAAGTTCATTATATATGCTGATAATTATAAAAAAAAGTATTCATAATTTCTCATAAATAAATGTTTTTCTTATTTATTATCAAAGGAAACTACTGTTTTTAAGTCAGTGTATATGTCTTCCACTTAAAGACCACAAGGCAACTGTATTATTAATAAGAATAAAAACGTAAATAGGGTCAGTTTTGATTTCATGTGTACTTGTAATGTCATGACCTTCATTATTGATGTTTGGCAGGAGAAAACTCAAGCCTGCTCTGACCTGAGCATCAATGAGTCTCTTTGTTCACGCAGGACAAACATAGAAGCTGCTTTTGTTTCTGTCTAACCATCTGTTTTATCTGTTCACAATAAAACAATCTCCTCTAGCTAGGTTTTGTTGGTTTATTATTGCCTGCGTTGTGCTTGAGCATCTCTGTGTTTCTGTTTCTCCAGGAATTTGCTGGATGCTGATGCATTCTCAAGGTCAGCGCCAGGTAAGTCCTGGTCTTAGTGATTGCTCCTTGATGTGAGGCTTGACACAAGTAGTCTGTGGATATGTTTGAATAATACATAATCATAATACTCATTCTGTTTGTACATCAGATATGCACAGTATGCAGATTTTTTTGTATTATGAATGGAACACCTTGGATAACCTATTATTTTTGCCAAAACATTGACATATACAATAAAGGTGCTGTGTACTGTATCCCACAAGGCAATATGCTCAACAGTGTGATGACGGAAACTATATATTTTATTGCTTCTATTATTAAATAGGAGCTTACACAAAATTGGATTTAATATTTTAAATAATTGTTTAAATTTTTAGTATTTTAAAATACCTTTTGCTGAGCTGAAAATGAAATGTGATCAGGTCATATGACACCATTGTCATTATCATGTACTATGATTTTCTTATTGTTTTATAATGTGTTCTAGCTATTTTTAAAGAACGAGCATATTGTGTACAGCACAGTATACAGGAAACTATTTTATTAAAACTTGTCTGGTGTCTCAAACATCTGCATGCATAAGTTTTAATATAACTAGCATTTAAAATTTAGCTTTTACATATTCATTTAGAGCTTTGTGATTTTCTTGATTGACTAATGAGCATATAATAATTCTGACTGAGTTGTATTTACTATTCTTAAGGGTAATAAAATGGTCGTCATGCATGATAATATAAACGTGGCCAAATTTTATTACTGCATTATTCAAAGTTTTTTTTTTCTCTCTGTCTCTCAGAGGGTCAACCACTGAGCAGAAACACAAAGCATTTTCCCTTCCCAAATGATGTCAATAGCCATGAATGCTATTCACATGAATTATTTTGCTGTTGCCTTGAAAACAAGTGAAGGTTTCGGATGAGTGTTTCATGGCTATTTGGTATGTGAAGCTATTGCTGAAAGTGTTGTACCCTTAGGGCATATCTTTTTGTCCTACTGCTTTTTCTAGTAGTATCAAAGGGGCTACTTTCCTTCCAGAGTAATCTCGGAGTTGAAAAAAAAAGCTTGCCATTGTAAACCTGCCTTAGTCAGAGAAGCCGAAATTATAACATTTATTAATCCTTCACCCTAATGCTCACAGCAATCAAACGCTTGACTGACATCTGAGTTGCCATAATTTGCACTGAGATTTATTCTAAATCAGTTCCTCGGTTGATCTGGCAAATGTCATACCTGAATAGGTGTCTCTACTCTTCCTGAAATGCTTTTTGTGCTCTGATGGTTGTTCCATGTAATTGATGTGAAATCGTTAAACATTAGCCGGCCCAGTGAAGTTACTGCAGATTTTTCGAGGAGTTGAAAATAATGAATGTGGTCAATCTCATCTTGTTCAGAGATTATGCATTCTTAATGCCCTGCTTCAAGTAACATTTGCATCTTGAAAAACAAGAAATGCTATTTTGGAGTGATTTTGTTTTGCTAGTTATGTCTAAATTCCTGGGCCATGAATTCTCAGGGGAAAAGACAATTGTGTCTATTGAGTGTTAACTGACATAATTAACAGGATACTTATTTGCATACAGGATACTTATTTACAATAAATGACCTACTTTACTGTCTGATGCAAAATACATAAACATCCATTTTGTTTTTATAATTAGAATTTCAGCCAATTTACATATCCCCATTCATAACCATTACATTTCAGGAAAGATCATATATACATTAAATATACAATATTTATAATTTAATTATAATTCTAATAATATAATATAATGTATATATATATATATATATATATATATATATATATATTTAAAAATATTAAATAATCCAGAACTTAAATTTAAATCCAAATTAAAACCTTATGAAGTTTTTTTTAATGCAGATTTTATTCATATCCTTGCATTTTAGTCATAAAAAAAGAATGGTTTAATCTTTTTCCTGACATCATTTTAAGGGACTGACATTCCACTGAATCATTCAAGAGGAGTCCAAACAGGAAGTGCCCTGACCAACAAATGGACTGCAGCTAGTAGTAGTTTGAGAAATGTTCATTTGAGAAAACATTATTTGACACACAGGGAATTTTTCTCTTGCTGTCTTATCAGAGTTAAATTTATATTTTCAGTTCTTGCAATGAGAGTTGCTTTTGAACATATATATATATTTCAGGATTTATCTATTTATTTGAAAATGTTACTCTGAACATTCAAAAAAAATATGTATAATTGTATCCTCGAGAAGGATCATTTTCGAATGAATGAATGAATATTCATTCAGACACAAATAACAGTTTTTCTGAGAATGAATCTCATGCTACATTTTTTCTCAGTGAGATTCACAACTGATTGCTCTTTCACAAATGTTCAAGTCCAAATTCTTTATGCTTGAATTTTCATATTTTTGCCAAAAGCTTGCTGGCCGGAGACATTTCGGTCATTTTCTCCAACTACCACCCACAGAGCTGCAGTCCATTTGTTGGTCAGGGCACTTCCTGTTTGGACTCCTTTTGAATGATTCGGTGGAGTAATTGATGAGTTAGATTCTCACACCTGCTGCTCCACACTTAGACTTAACAGGCCTGGATTTTGGACTAATACTCCATACTGGTCACAAATAGGCACTTCTCCAAGCCATTTTCTAATTTAGATGGTAAGATGAAGCTCAGTGAAGCACCTCCATTAGCTTCATTTAAGGAAACTCACTGTGCACATGCTGCAAGTGTTTTTATCAAATTATTGATTGTTTCTCTCTGTGTTTGACCATTATTTTTCCATTTTCTCTTTACAGTGGTTGTGTTGTATGTTCAAGGAATCGGTACTAAGGAGTGGAGAGAGGTTAGTATGCTTTTTATAGTGTATACAGTATGAGCAGAACATATAGTGCTCAGCATGTTCGTTTTTTAGCCTTTTGACAAACTGTATTATCAATTAATATGGTCCATTGGCCACAACTACAAGCTGCAATCAGTACACAGTTTGCAGTTATATTGATGTGATCCATTGTTGTACTTTTAGATCCACCATGAAGTTTTTTTTTTCAATTCTGCTTATTATCAGATTGTAGTGTCTATCAGTCGATATTCTCCTCCATCCTCCTCCTCAATCTGCTCTTGTGTGGATGTTCTGTTTTTATTTTTCTTTCATGATGTGCGTTCTTTTATTTTCCTTCCAGATAAATCTCATGAGACTGTTTCTTTTAGAAACAGTATTCATAAACTTGCAGAAGCTTTTAATTACAAAACATGAATAAAACATTAAATAATACTATATTGATATCTTCTAAGTTGGATTTTTTTTGTATATATACACTACGGTTCAAAACATTGTTCTTTCTTTTTTTAATTGAAATTAATACTTTTATTCAGCAAAGGAGACAATAAATTGATCAAATGCGACAGTAAAGGCATTTAGAATGTTACAGAAGGTTTCTATTTCAAATAAATGCTGTTCTTTTGACTTTCTATTATTCAAAGAATCCTGAAAAGAATTCCACAAAAATATTATGCTGCACAAGTTGCACAACTGTTATCAAGATTGATAATTAGAAATGTTTCTTGAGCAGAAGTATCATGTGACACTGAAGATTGGAGCGATAATGCTGAAAATTCAGCTTTGCATCACAGGAATTAACTACGTTTTAAAATATATTAAATCGAAAGTAGTTATTTTAAAGAGCAGGTCATATGGGTTTTTGAAAAATATCTCTTTTGCAGTTTATAACGTAGCTATACTTAAATGAAAACAGTCTGCAAAGTTGTTAATCAAAAAAGTGCATGATAAATAAAGACATTGTCTCTCAAAAGAGAGAGTCAATTCTGTATCGCCTTAACGAGTCGTCATATTTTCGAATCTTTTGCCTGTTGTTGATATACGTCACTGGGTAACAAATTTGCCTAATCTCCGCCTGCCCGCGAGTCTGACCTGCCCACAAACACTTCCGCTAGTTAATGTGTTTACATCATGTTGAGAAGATGCTGTGTTCAAGGATACCACAGAAATACAATTCGAACCTTTTGTTGTGTGCATGTCAATTTACCAAGGACTGCCTCTCTAATCTTGACTTTTAACTTTGTTGGCTTCTAATCTTCTTTATTTGGACTAACAAGCTCTCCAAAGCACATCCTGTAAGTACGATTGATACGTTATGTGTACATTTTCAATTGGGTGCTCAAAATTTCCTTTTTTTTTTTTTTTTGCTAATATGTGATGTATACCTAGTGCAGCTTTAGGTTTCCAGGTAAAGCACGATATTACTGTCTTACTGAAGTAGTTCTGATAATTCGCTGTGAACCCACTATTTCCTAAGAATGTGTCGATTAATATAGACTGACGTTGTTCTAATAATTACTTCATTTAATAATAAAGAATGTAGTGTAGCGCACGGATTTTATAATCATTGTGAAATTGCTGTTTATTTTGCGGCAGTTAAAGGGTTAATACGGGAGAGACAAGCGAGTTAGTTAGGCTGGTGCGCCTGTGATAGAGCTGTTCTGCGTTCTGATTAAAAGTCGTTCTTCAAACATTACAGTAGACATATTTTGGTTTACAAACTGTATTGTTTCATCAGTTAGTCACGTTAGCACTCAGCTAACGTATCCACCATTATTGTTTTAAGTGTTTACAGTATAGCAGCTAAACTTGAGCTGTGGGCACGATTCGCTTGCATATGTGTTTTTGTATTTTATGCCATTATTTTAAGAACAGATTGGAGCACTATATTATTGTTTTATGTAAAAGCGCTTTGTCATTGGTAGCGCTCGCTAACTTGCTCAAGTTAAGGACTCCTCTCTGTGCCAATCACAGCAGGCTTGGCCAGCTGACCAATCAGATCAGAGTAGGCTTATGGAAGGGAGGGGTTTGCGCCGAACTTGCTTGGAACGAATCGTTTTTGACTTTTAGGACACTTTAAAATACCATATGACCTGCTCTTTAAATTGTAATAATATTCCACAATATTAACCTTTTACTGTAATTTTGATCAAATAAAGACAGCCTTGGTGAGCATAAGAGACTTCTTTCAAAAACATTTTAAAAATCTACAATCTACCAATGGTAAACTAATTCTGAATAGTAGAAAGTTTAGAACACAATTTTTTAAAAACATGCAAGTACATAAGTCTGATTTTATGAAAAATTAAAAAAATTCAAAGAGAAAGAAAAAACCTGGGTTGTGAATCTGATTGCAGAAGCTTTATTAAACAAAAGGAATATGTGACCCTGGACCACAAAACCAGTCATAAGGGTCAATTTTTCATAAATAAATAAGCTTTCCATTGATGTATGATATGTTATGATAGGACAATATTTGGCTGAGATACAACTATTTGAAAATCTGGAATCTGAGGGTGCAAAAAAATCCAAATATTGAGAAAATCGCCTTTGAAGTTGTCCAAATTGAAGTTCTTAGCAATGCATATTACTAATCAAAAATTAAGTTTTAATATATTTACAGTAGGAAATTGATTAAATATCTTCATGGAACATGATCTTTACTTAATATCCTAATGATTTTTGGCATAAAACAAAAATCAATAATTTTGACCCATGCAGTGTATTTACAAATATACTACAAATATACCCCAGCGACTTAAGACTGGTTTTGTGGTCCAGGGTCACATATGGGCAAAAACACAGGGCAAAACATGCAAACTGAAAGAGATATCACACAATAAGCACAGATAAGCTCTGACACTACCAAACTGAAAACACAGGGAAAGGAAGAAATTAAACAAGGTACAGGTGAACATAATCAACCAATGAGTAATTATTACAAACTGGAAAAATGAAACGAAGGAAACCGGTTCGAAATACAGGAAGAGAAATTAACACAGAATGTGACACTCATAAAATTGAGTAGAAATTATTATGCCATGCTAAATGGATAAAAGCAAAGAATTTGTTTCCAGTGCTGAACTGTCCAATTCGCTGTGCTTTTGGGTTTTTATTGCCTCCCAGTGTTCTAAAATCAACTTAAGATAACCCTTTTGGCAGAATTGTAAATGCAGCTACTAATTGTATCCCACCACCTTGCCAGGATTTGAGGAATCAGCATTCAGCAGTCTCTGGGAAAGTCTCAAATTGAGTATTGGAAAAAATAAAAAAGTGTCGTTTGCCATTGGAAATTTGAGGAATGCAGCGAGCAATCTGGACTTCTCTAGAGATATCTCGCTCTTCAGATGGCATCATGAAATATTCACTGTACTTTTATATAGCTGCTGTGTATCTGGACCAGTGGCTTTCTCCGCATGCATATCAACACTCAAGTGCCCACTCACATTACAAGTACCTCCAAAAGCAAGCATAGCAACTGCATTATAAACAGCCAGCTCCCCTAAACAGATAATGCAGCAACCAACGGTCAAGGACCGATCGGCTCCAGGAACTTCTCCAGGAGCAGATAATGGAAAGCGTGGATACTAAGTTGATAGGTGGGATTATGTGTCTGGGGTGTTGAGAACATGATCTTGGGTCTGAATCTGAGTTAGGAATCAATAGTTCATTACTCTGTGCCGTCGGTGAGCTCCAGCGAGGACTCCTGCCCAATGGGAATTTCTGTCTGATTGCTTCAGGGATGTGTATGTTGGGCAAGTACATAAGTCTGATTTTATGAAAAATTAAAAAAATTCAAAGAGAAAGAAAAAACCTGGGTTGTGAATCTGATTGCAGAAGCTTTATTAAACAAAAGGAATATGTGACCCTGGACCACAAAACCAGTCATAAGGGTCAATTTTTCATAAATAAATAAGCTTTCCATTGATGTATGATATGTTATGATAGGACAATATTTGGCTGAGATACAACTATTTGAAAATCTGGAATCTGAGGGTGCAAAAAAATCCAAATATTGAGAAAATCGCCTTTGAAGTTGTCCAAATTGAAGTTCTTAGCAATGCATATTACTAATCAAAAATTAAGTTTTAATATATTTACAGTAGGAAATTGATTAAATATCTTCATGGAACATGATCTTTACTTAATATCCTAATGATTTTTGGCATAAAACAAAAATCAATAATTTTGACCCATGCAGTGTATTTACAAATATACTACAAATATACCCCAGCGACTTAAGACTGGTTTTGTGGTCCAGGGTCACATATGGGCAAAAACACAGGGCAAAACATGCAAACTGAAAGAGATATCACACAATAAGCACAGATAAGCTCTGACACTACCAAACTGAAAACACAGGGAAAGGAAGAAATTAAACAAGGTACAGGTGAACATAATCAACCAATGAGTAATTATTACAAACTGGAAAAATGAAACGAAGGAAACCGGTTCGAAATACAGGAAGAGAAATTAACACAGAATGTGACACTCATAAAATTGAGTAGAAATTATTATGCCATGCTAAATGGATAAAAGCAAAGAATTTGTTTCCAGTGCTGAACTGTCCAATTCGCTGTGCTTTTGGGTTTTTATTGCCTCCCAGTGTTCTAAAATCAACTTAAGATAACCCTTTTGGCAGAATTGTAAATGCAGCTACTAATTGTATCCCACCACCTTGCCAGGATTTGAGGAATCAGCATTCAGCAGTCTCTGGGAAAGTCTCAAATTGAGTATTGGAAAAAATAAAAAAGTGTCGTTTGCCATTGGAAATTTGAGGAATGCAGCGAGCAATCTGGACTTCTCTAGAGATATCTCGCTCTTCAGATGGCATCATGAAATATTCACTGTACTTTTATATAGCTGCTGTGTATCTGGACCAGTGGCTTTCTCCGCATGCATATCAACACTCAAGTGCCCACTCACATTACAAGTACCTCCAAAAGCAAGCATAGCAACTGCATTATAAACAGCCAGCTCCCCTAAACAGATAATGCAGCAACCAATGGTCAAGGACCGATCGGCTCCAGGAACTTCTCTTGGAGCAGATAATGGAAAGCGTGGATACTAAGTTGATAGGTGGGATTATGTGTCTGGGGTGTTGAGAACATGATCTTGGGTCTGAATCTGAGTTAGGAATCAATAGTTCATTACTCTGTGCCGTCGGTGAGCTCCAGCGAGGACTCCTGCCCAATGGGAATTTCTGTCTGATTGCTTCAGGGATGTGTATGTTGGCAGGAAGCATGTACGAGCTCACACTGAGCTGCTATTCCTGCCCCACATTCAGGCAGAGCTCAGACTGCTGTTAAGTCTGCCGAGAGAAGGGAAGTCTGAGGGCTGATTTTGCTTCTGATCATGAAAATATGATCATAGCAACTGTTATTATGCTTTGGCACATCAGTAATTCCTTCAGTGCAGATTTTACATGCAGCTGAGTGAATAATATTAGCTTCTTTTATGCTTTTCTGTTCTATTCATCTCAAGTTTCATGTTTCATTGGAGGATAGTGGCATTTATTGTATATATATATATTTTTTATTGTGGCAATAAAAATATAATGTGTTTTATTACATTAACTATAGCTACATTATAATGTTGAGTGTATCAAATCAGCAGGAACGAGATTCTGCCACAGAATACAAAAATAAAAGAGAAAATTTGGCATTTTTTTTGGCATCTGAGTTCATATCACACAATTCTGACTTTGATTCTTGCATTTTTGAGAAACAGATAAGAGAAAAAAAATTTTGTGGGGGAAACAAAAACAATTGCGAGATGTAAACTCAGAATTCAGAAAAAATTTAATAAATAATTGGGAAATTAAATAATTACATTAAAAAAAATAGGTAGGCTATTTGTGACTTTTATCTCACAATTTTGACTTCTCACAATTGGAAGTCTGTATCTCACAATTTTGAGTTTGTCTCAAATCTGAAAAAATTCTGAAACTCTGAAAAAAAAATTCAAAATGTGACATCTCAGAATTGCAATAAAAGGAGGGGCAGAATTATGGGACAAAGTCACAGTTTATTTATTTTTTATTTTTGTATTCCATGGTGGAAATAGACTTCCATACAGCCCTGTTATCCATGCCGGTGTTTTTAAATTTGAATAAAAATGTTATTTTTTTTTGTTCATTTTAAAAACATAAAAATTTCCTTTTTCTTGTCTTGTCTTTTTTAATATATATTTTATATGCCTGTTTTGCACCCAATTTGTGGAGAATGACTTTTATATATTATGTTTTTATTATTTAGCCATGAAAACATTTAATCTAATGATGCATCTTTCATTCTTATTTAGTCTGGTCGAACAGAAGTGATTGACAACACTCTCAACCCGGACTTTGTGAGGAAGTTTGTCTTGGATTATTTCTTCGAAGAAAAGCAGAACCTTCGCTTTGACGTGTAAGTGGATGACAACACTTTTCCGCCTTTAGTTTCAGGAAAAAAAACATTAAACAGTGATAAAATGCATTCTTTTGCTTATTTGACACAGATACAATGTGGACTCCAGAAGCTCAAACATCTCAAAGCATGTAAGTAAACTTTAATGTCCCACATGCCGTGCTAATGGATAGACAAGTCACGATGCAATGCCTGCAAGTTTTACTCTGTTGAATGTGTTTTATTACATTAACTATTTTATTACATTAACTATAGCTACATTATAATGTTGAGTGTATCAAATCAGCAGGAACCAGATTCTGCCACAGAATACAAAAATAAAAGAGGAAATTTGGCATTTTTTTGGCATCTGAGTTCATATCACACAATTCTGACTTTGATTCTTGCATTTTTGAGAAACAGATAAGAGAAAAAAATTTTTGTGGGGGAAACAAAAACAATTGCGAGATGTAAACTCAGAATTCAGAAAAAATTTAATAAATAATTGGGAAATTAAATAATTACATTAAAAAAAATAGGTAGGCTATTTGTGACTTTTATCTCACAATTTTGACTTCTCACAATTGGAAGTCTGTATCTCACAATTTTGAGTTTGTCTCAAATCTGAAAAAATTCTGAAACTCTGAAAAAAAAATTCTAAATGTGACATCTCAGAATTGCAATAAAAGGAGGGGCAGAATTATGGGACAAAGTCACAGTTTATTTATTTTTTATTTTTGTATTCCATGGTGGAAATAGACTTCCATACAGCCCTGTTATCCATGCCGGTGTTTTTAAATTTGAATAAAAATGTTATTTTTTTTTTGTTCATTTTAAAAACATAAAAATTTCCTTTTTCTTGTCTTGTCTTTTTTAATATATATTTTATATGCCTGTTTTGCACCCAATTTGTGGAGAATGACTTTTATATATTATGTTTTTATTATTTAGCCATGAAAACATTTAATCTAATGATGCATCTTTCATTCTTATTTAGTCTGGTCGAACAGAAGTGATTGACAACACTCTCAACCCGGACTTTGTGAGGAAGTTTGTCTTGGATTATTTCTTCGAAGAAAAGCAGAACCTTCGCTTTGACGTGTAAGTGGATGACAACACTTTTCCGCCTTTAGTTTCAGGAAAAAAAACATTAAACAGTGATAAAATGCATTCTTTTGCTTATTTGACACAGATACAATGTGGACTCCAGAAGCTCAAACATCTCAAAGCATGTAAGTAAACTTTAATGTCCCACATGCCGTGCTAATGGATAGACAAGTCACGATGCAATGCCTGCAAGTTTTACTCTGTTGATTTAATGTCTTTTCTGCTACAATGGACGTGGATGACAGAAGGTACAAGCTGTAAATGAGTGTAATTTATCCATTGCTTGTTTTCTCTGTCATGCCAAAAATAGTTACAAAGAGAATGCAATTTGTTTTTTGAGTTCTCATTCTTTGGAAAAAAATAAGTGTCACGTTCAAAGCCCAGACCCTTTGCATCCTTTAAATCTGCATGAAAGAGTCTGTTGTAGTCCTCAAAGTCTCGTCTTGTTTTTCTGTTGTTTTTTTGCTCGCTTTTTTGTATGCATTTCCATGTCATTGATTCACCCCTTCCATTGCTTAGAGTTTCATCAGCCAGGCCTCACCTGTCTTTATACTCAGTGACATACAGTATCCAAGGTGAGTCCTCATACCATCTTTCTGAGATTTTCCAGACTGGACTGTAACTGCTGATTTGTGTCTGTGGAGCAGAAGCCCCACAGTACTGTGATTTACCTCCATTGTTTTGTCTCCCACAGTCCTTCCTCGGCCAGACTTTCTGCACTCTAGGAGAGATTATTGGGTCCTCTGGGTCAAGACTGGAGCGGGTGCTTTCGTAAGTCTTTGATTATTTTCCACCCTTGATATGACGTTGAAGAAGAAACAGCACCATGGAAACAGTTCTTTAAAAGTTCTCCAAATCCTATGGGATCTCTATTCAGGCCACAGATTTAACCACATGGAAGACATAAGTTCATCTGACCTGCATGGCCCAGCTGAGCTCATTTATATAGCAAGTGCTCTCACGACGATAATAAGACAAAAGGGTTGATAAATTGGTCTTTTTCATGCAGCTCGCGGTTCGAAATCCTTTTACGCTCTCCAGCTCTTTGACGGCGCTTCTAAAATCAATGCTTTTAACCGCAGTCGAGGTGCTTGTTTGGGGTTTCTCAGTATAGCAGACCTTCTGTGTCCATATCAATCCAGAGCATGTCTGTGTACGTATAGATCCCAAAGCTTTGGCGAGGGGTTAAGAAGGGAAACTAATTAAGCTTCGGCTTGAGTTAGGATGGCACGCTGGTGACTGGGGCATTTTAACATTAAGATACAGACTGCCACTGTCCAGCATATCTGGGTCACATCAATGATCTATTTCAGTAGCACAAAATAGGGTGTCTGGATGATGCCTTCAAAGGGATTTGCTTGCATTTGGTCTTGTAGAAGAACCACATTTTTCTTGTCATTTTACAGAATCATATGTGCATTTGCCAAATGACATGCCATTTTCACAGAAAGCCTCAAATGCTGTTTTATATGATGACGAGTGTTATTGAAGTGTTTTTTTAATATACAATTATAGTTTTTATTAATATCTTGAATTAGCTTTTTATTTTCTTGAATTAGTAATTTTTATGTGCTTTTATTTTAATTCGTTTTAAAATGTTTCCATATAGCTTTATTTCAGTTTTAGTACTTCAACTTAATTTAAATGTATACGATTTTATGTTTTTCATCTAATATTTGTTTTATTCATTTATTTATATTTTATTTCAGGTTTATTTCAGTTACTGAAAACAATTTTTAATAGTTTTAGTTAAAAATAACAACTCTTGATATGAAATAAAAATGCATGATTAATGCTTTCACATGTAAAATCTGAATATAAGCAGTTTAAGTCGCTTTGTTTCAGTTGTAAATTTCATTGAGGTTTTTTAAGTTTTTCAATATTTACATTTTACTTAACAGCTTTACTTTAATTACTGAAAACAATTTTTAACAATAACAATACTGCATATGAAGCAAAACACGATTAATGCGTGCACAAGTGAAATCTGAATATATAAAAGGTTTAAAGTCACTTTATTTCAGTTGCAATTTCGGTTTACGTTTTTTAAGTTGAAGTTTTTTTTTACTTAATATTTATATTTTTTACTTTACAGCTTTACATCAATTAACAAAAATGATTTTCAATAGTTTTAGTTAACAATAACAATACTGGATATGAAGTCAATTTAAATCTAAAATCTGAATATAAAAGGTTTTAAGTCACTTTATTTCAGTTGCTATTTCCATCAAGATTTTAAAGTTTTTTTTAACTTATGTTACTTATGTATAAGCTATGTTTATATTTTTCTTTACTTACTTTACATCAATTACTGAAAACAAAACAACAAAAACATGCAATTAATGTGTTGAAATGTGAAATTCACATGCTTTTCCATAATGGGGCTCAGTGATCGGAATATAAGCTGTTTTAAGTCACTTTAATAAGAAAGCAAAATGAAAAACATTGTAGATATGGCTAGACAGTGTGACTAAACCCCTTAAGAACATGAAAAATAGTTTGTAAGTCCCTTCCAACAGCTGGTTTTCTTCCTCTAAGAACATGACAGGTGCTGTGCACGCGCTCTGTATCGCAGCATGGTAGACGAGGAGCTTTTTGCGAATGCGTCTGATGGTGACACGGCATGGGGCAAAAAACACTAAATGGGCCGTCTCCTTTTGGCCTTTGTGTCACGCTTTCTGCAGTGCTGTGCAAGCGGCAAGTAGCGGATTAGGAAAAAGGTTGGCGGCAATAGGCATATTTTAGTAGGTCAGCCCGTCTCTCTAAAGAGCTAGTGGGCAGATACTGTAACACACTGGGGTGGAAGTGTGGAGGAAGAGGTACTACTCTATTACCTGCTGGTTTCTATGGCAACCCACCAAGACTAGTGGCTTTTCAATTACATAGCACTGCATTTGGGCAAATACGTCTAATTCCCTCTGTTTTCGCAAGATAAGGCCAGGGAGTCCTAAGGACAAAGAGATGCCACGGGAGGTTCGGAGATGGGGATTTCAGGTTCCGCGCCACATTCGGGGGCCCTTCGGGCTTGATTTTTCTCCAGCCTCATTTCCACATGTGAGCGTGGTGGATTTGTGGAGAAAATGTGCGTGGATAGAAGAGAGCCATATACTGTCAGGCTGAGCAAAATATTTTTAGACAACCTGGTTTCGGTCCAGGAATGTTTGAGATGAGAGAATGTAAAATGCTGTACAATAACAAGACCGGGTGTCAGTATTTCAGCTCGGGGTTTTAAATTGTCACAGAATGCAATCTATTTGCCACGTATGAGTATTGAAAATATTTCAAATAAGCTCCAAAAATACATCTCGCCACGCAGGTAGGAAGAATTACTCCATCAGAAGGTGGGTAATTTGTCATTGGTCACTGTTGAAAAACAAATTACCTAATGTTACGCCCATGTGTTTTTCTACACACTCGATCAATCTGTTTCATACATAATTCGCTATTTAACTCTCTAGCCCCCCACCACACACACACACACAAACTGAGCTTCTAATTAGCTAAAAAGAAAGCATGACATTTTCTGTGAAAATACCCTCAGTGTTGGAGACATTCATCATAGTAGCGGTGCTGTCACAGGTTTATACTGAGATGTATGAGGGTGAAGTGTGTCCAGATAAACATGCCAAACACACTACTGTCAGTGTACTGATGGCTATTACACTTAGACATCACCAGCTCAAATGGATTTTCACACTCCATTGCATGGAAAACAATTACATGTTCAGTACACTACAGATGTTTCATAGATTTATCATCTTTTGTGCATTTAAAATAGATTATATAAATTAACATTACTTAAAAGAAATATTTAGAATTTTTATATATTATGAATGTATTATCTACTGTAGTCAATGACCAGTACTTTGGATATTGGATAGGCCAACTATTGGCTCATATTTGGCTATTTTTATATTATCAGGTGGCATTCATGTGGCTCAGTATGATGAAAGTCACTGATGTTCAGTACACACAGTAATTAGTGATATATACTCTTATGGACAAACAAATAACTAAGTATTACAAGTTGTGCTGTACTGTTTGTGCTATAAATGAGATGTTTGATAGTAAAACTTGTTGAGGAGAGGTGTGCTATAACTTTTCATATTCCATGGACTGTCTGAATACTGGATTCTGATTGGCTGGCAGGTATGCAGTAAAACCGTTTAATGCACAGGTAGTTCCAAGTCAGTTTAATCACCGTTCTATATTACACACAAACTTGTTGTCAACGCTCCCCCGTGATTTTCATTAATAAAATAGCCTAGATACTAGATCGCTACATTATATTCCCCAGCAACGAGGTGGTAAAATCGCTGTTTTTGAAGTAATTGTTTGCACAGAGAGACGCGCAGACGCAGCACACAGGTACACTCTGTACACAACTGTCATCTCTCTCTCTCTCTTTCTCTCTCTCAAACGATCGATCGATAATTAATTGAAATGCATGCTGTAATTCATTCAAACAAATGTGGTCTTACCGCACTATTTCATCTCTGTGTATGATTTGAATCGGGCAGAATGCTAGCGCTAATGTGCCGTAACTGACAAAAATAACTGTCATTTTTACCCATTCGTCAAATATTGTGCTGCAAAGAGCAATACTAGTTTTTGAAGAATGGATCTGTGCCATTTTTAGAGACCAGAATATCATAGAGTCTTGCTCTTTTGACTTAGACAACATGGTAAAACCCTAGCAACCATTTAGCAACGACCATTCCAAGCATTGTGGAGTCACTTTTACATCAAATTTAGAAAAATTCTTGTTAAATGTAAATAATAGAAAAATAATTCCTTAGCCATTATTAGTGATACCTGTATGAATATTTTTTTTATAATGGTAATGATAACTTTAATACTTTTTTTATTATATTAAATATATTAAAATGGTTCATTACAAGTAATACAGTTCATTAACCTATCTGTAGACTATTTACACACTGCAAAAAAATATACGGTTAGAAATATGTTTTATTGATTTTTGAGTAAATATGTAAAATAGCTATTTGTTTTAAATAAATAGTTCACTTTAAATGGGGAATTCATCAATTAATGATCAATTATTCACTCTCATTGTCTTCTCTGGAACATGAAAATAGATATTCTGAAGAAGCTTGATGCCAGATGTCTTAAGAGTAGTCCATGCAAATTGTGTACTGCTGTATGGCATACAAAGTCTTGACTCTCAAAAAAATATTGCCCTGTGCCATAGCTCTTGAATATATATGTAGAAGATATTTTTTAAAAATCTGTTTTTTTTCTCCATACAATGAATGTCAGTGTGGTCCATAATCTTTTTTTTCTGCAGAAGAAACAAATGCATGCAAGTTTGAAACGACATGAGGGTGAGTAAATTATGACAAAATGTGCATTTCTGGTTGAAATACCCATTTGAGTTCCAAAATCTAAAATCACTGGAATATCTCAGTGTTTACTTTGTATTCTGGTGATGCTATTTTAGTGGATGAGGTTAAGCGTATCTCAAGATCTTTTTATCTGTGGACACAGCTGTTGCGCCAGACGCCATCGAATGTGAGCATTTGCCCACTCAAGTCAGTTACGACGACGAACTGCAGTCAGGTCGAGACCTCGATGAGGACGACGAGTATGCAGATGAGCTTCCCTGAGACGTTTTTGGCAGTTTGTGCAGAAATTCTTTGGTTATGCAAACCGATTGTTGCAGCAGCTGTCCGGGTGGCTGGTCTCAGACGATCTTGGAGGTGAAGATGCTGGATGTGGAGGTCCTGGGCTGGTGTGGTTACACGTGGTCT